CAAACTCACTGGGTTTCAAGGCAAACTCCCTTGGTATCAAGACGAACTCATTGGGTATCAATGCAAACTCACTAGGTATCAAGGCAAACTCACTGGGTATCAATGCAAACTCACTAGGTATCAAGGCAAACTCACTGGGTATCAAGGCAAACTCACTGGGTGTCAAGGCAAACTCATTGGGCATCAATGCAAACTCATTGGGTATCAAGGCAAACATTGGGTATCAAGGCAAACTCACTGGGTATCAATGCAAACTCACTAGGTATCAAGGCAAACTCACTGGGTATGAAGGCAAACTCGTGGGTCATCAATGTAAACTCATTGGGCATCAATGCAAACTCACTAGGTGTCAAGGCAAACTCACTGGGTATCAAGGCAAACTCATTGGGCATCAATGCAAACTCATTGGGTATCAAGGCAAACTCATTGGGTATCAAGGCAAACTCACTGGGTATCAATGCAAACTCACTAGGTATCAAGGCAAACTCACTGGGTATGAAGGCAAACTCGTGGGTCATCAATGTAAACTCATTAGGCATCAATGCAAACTCACTAGGTATCAAGGCAAACTCACTGGGTATCAAGGCAAACTCACTGGGTATCAAGGCAAACTCACTAGGTATCAAGGCAAACTCACTGGGTATGAGGGCAAACTCGTGGGTCATCAATGTAAACTCATTGGGCATCAATGCAAACTCACTAGGTATCAAGGCAAACTCACTGGGTATCAAGGCAAACTCACTAGGTATCAAGGCAAACTCACTGGGTTTCAAGGCAAACTCCTTTGGTATCAAGACGAACTCATTGGGTATCAATGCAAACTCACTAGGTATCAATGCAAACTCACTAGGTATCAAGGCAAACTCACTGGGTATCAAGGCAAACTCACTGGGTATCAAGGCAAACTCACTGGGAATCAAGGTAAACTCACTGGGAATCAAGGTAAACTCATGGGGCATCAATGTAAACTCGTTGGGCATCAATACAAACTCGTTGGGCATCAAGGTAAACTCACTGGGTATCAAGGCAAACTCATTTGGCATCAAGGCAAACTCACTGGATATCAAGGCAAACTCATTG